TAAGATATATATTCCTTTTGGATCGTACTGAACAGAGCTTTTCTGTTTTGACCATAAAGATTGAATCCAATTTTTCACATCTGGATTTAAATCAAGATAGTTGCGGTGGCATAACTTGTTCATATAATATTTCCTTTCGATTTGCACAAGTGGACTTTTATTGCCAGTTCGGAACCCGAGGAGCATTCCGTTTCTTAGAAGAGATCTATTACAATATCTATAATTTTATTGCATAGTTAAGAAGTTACCTGACTCATATGGGAATAACGAAAAATTGTATAAGGCTCCAAAATTGTAAACAGCTTCGATGATGTGTCCCGTTAAATGAACATTATACGACATGTTATCTTTACCATATAGTGTTTCAAATTGCTGCAGAAACATGTTTAAGTCCATTTCGCATGAATGTATCGTGGCTTCGTTCAATTTTGGGTCTAATAACTGGTGAATCGATAATGATAGCAACATGACATGGTCAAGAAATTGTTTTGATAAAATATTAGTAACGGACGGATATAAATAATGGAGAAGAACAGCTTCCCACTCATTCGCCTTGTATTTCTTATGTTCCTTCAACTGTCGCGGATATCTAGGAAAAACACTAGGAGGTCTAAAGCTCAACATTCTCTTTTCAATTTCTCCCAAGCGGTTACCAATGTAGAAAGGTTGCTTATGATTTTCACTTTCCGTCCATAAACTCCACAACTGTTTCATTACGCCGAGCAATATTGCGTACATATAATCTGGAGGAAAGCAGTCGATAATATCAAGATCAGGCGAAAAAGTAAATACAGATTTTCCCATCACCCCAAGCTTCTCTATGCCTGTGGTAGATACTTCTTCCATCAACTGTCTTGTGGGTGTGTCTTCTCGTTTGCGGACATTATGCATTTGGGATAACATCTCGAATTATTCGAAACTTTTGTTTCTCCTGGATGTAGGCAATATGTGCAACCATATAATCCGTTGTATTGCTTCATGTTCTGTACTTTGCACCTCGCCACGGAATCAAGATTTACTTGTAGTAATGACACCGAGTACATTTTTCCATCAATGTTCATTCCAGTATCCTTTAACCGTCGTAGCTCTATGCAAAAGTACTTAAATAATAAATTGGTGTTTGGTTCACCCTTCGAAAGCCACAAATCACTGACAACCAAGTTGTGTTTTGAATATCGAATATTGGGAGGGAGGTTATTCAAAGTGACAAAGCTATAATAATGGCTGATATTATTGTACATTGAAAATAAGACGACTTTATTATAATTTCAAACCAATCTGTATATGCTTCACAGCATGCCGTGCAATATTTATGGTGATTATTATACCAAATAGGAGCATAAATTTAGTGCGCCATATGAATACTAAAATATAGGGATATTTTTAATTTGTCAGCATTAGCACCATGCATTAAAGAGTCATTCAAAGATTATCTATTTAGTAAAAAACTGTTACTACTGTTGAGCAATAACCAGTCACATATTATTTAATTATACATAGATGTATGAAAGTGTTTTATTGCCTATCAATTAAAGCGTAATTATTCATACTGTGTGAAATTTGTTCATACGGCGACATTTTTTTTCGTTATAACTTGCTACTCCTTAAAAATACCTCAATATAACATATTCTCCTAGATTGGAATTCTATAGCATAACATAAACCTAATGGTTGTATCTTAGCATTTCGTAGTCCAAATTGAGAGCGTTAAGTTATATTTAAGCTATATAACTAGCTTGCTGGTTTATTCGGTACAGCGAATCAAAACAAAACAAAAACCATGACCACCTGTCAAAAAGTCAACATTCCAAGCGATCCTCCTATTTTCGCTTGTAATCAAGATGTAAGAAATGCTTATTGGATCCACTAAAAGCTTTTTCAATACAAGGGTTAAAGCCGTGATGTCAATACTGGCCATCTCCAAACGGATTTAGTGAAACTGTCGGCGTTGCTTTAAGAAGGGTTCGTGGATCTTTCGGAAGTGTATCGGAAAGCCGCTTGCTCAATATTTTTAAGAGCTCCTTCACCGCACTGTGCCTTATGTAGGGATCGTATAACTGTAGTTCCTCCAGGAGTTTCATATTGTCGATCGTCTCATCTTCATCGTGTTCAGAAGCACTGAAGGGGTTTTCATTTCATATATCTGAATAGATTTGTTTTTTATAATGACAAAAAATTTCAGAGTATTTTTTGTTGTAGCAGTATATTTCTTATCTGTGAATTTTAGGCCTCTGATAAAGATGATAGTTGTAATGAAGCTTTAATGAAGGTCTAAGACTGCTTCAAGTTTTATATCGGTCATAAAAAGTGTACAATAAAACATAATTGTATGTTTTGTTTTGGTTTTATTCTTCAGTTATAAGTAGTGATGCAGAACCACCTTACAGCTACCGTTAAAACTATGAAGTCTGAGTTTTAATTTAGTAGTCATAAAACAGTTATATAGACGACTTGACGGCCTGATTTTATGACAAGCACACAAAACCGTAATACAACCACAGGCTGGAAGGGATGCTATGATAAAACAATGATAAAATAAGAATAAATCTTCCAAGCATTTAGATTGTTACTTGGGTAGGTATGTTATTACGTATACAATTTATTGGTCAACCTACTATCGGTAAAGCACTTGCCATATCCAACATTTCATCGTTGGCGTCCTCCTCTGAGTGCTCAGCATCAGAATCTGTAGGTTCATTATTTAGAATCATCGATTCATTTAAACTGTGGTGATTGCTTAGGTCATGTATCATCGTATTTTCCGAGGCTGGACCTGAGTGCTCAGATTCAGATTCAGAATCTGTAGGCTCATCATTTAAATAAACCGTTTTATTTAAATTGCGATGGTTGTTTTTTTCTGAGGCGGGATTAACTTCAATGAATTCAGGTTCATGGTCTGAATACATAAGTTCAACAGTTTCTAATCCTGATGAACAGATGGGATCATTAACAATGTTTCGCCTGGGCTGCACAAGATATTAGGTAGTTTTTGATATTTTTTCTATCCGACATACGTACCTTTTTGACATATTTCCGTCCATAGTACTCGGGTGACAAATAAAATTGTCGTCTTCGACGCGCACTCATGGTAATTTATTAATTAAATAAACAACGATTTTATTGAATAATACTTTAAACAAAACAGTCAGAGTAGTTTTTATTTATGCTAAGATAAGATTAGACAACTGGTTCATTTTTGTTTTAAAGTATTCTTCTTCTCTCGCAGAACCGACCGTGCAATTAATTCTGGTCAACACGACTGACTATCAAAACACAAGAAAAAAGATTATCTGTTGTTAAAATCTTCGGGTTGTATACGTTCGGCCGATATACGTGAACTTCAAATTGAGCAATCAGGAGTTGGTTCGCATTTGATGGAAAACTGGTTCAAAAAAGGTCCCCTATTGCTCATCTTATCTTAGGATTTATGAACAATAGCAGATGACGTATGAGAGCTATGTCACAGTACACAGGTCTGCTGTTGTTATGGATCTTGATGATGACGTCACAATCACGGTCCATCGTATTTCATTGTAATGTTTATCTTTTTACACGAAACAGCTATTCGAAGTTACATCAATCTCACTGTTCTCAATATGGAATGTTGTGGGAGTGACGTCGTTCCTTGAGTGCTCAGCAATATATACAATATTTTTGCTTCTAATACCAGCAAGCTGCCTGTTGGCTCGGACCTTATATAAACGTCATTGGTATAAACAGTATGGTTGTGAACAGGACGTGAATCACACAGTTATTCGTGTTGTCTAAGTTTATGTGAAAAAAATCAGTATAACTGTTAAATTCAACAACAGAAATGGGCCGTCCACGTAAAAATCAAGGTCAAAAGCTTGCTACTAAGAGAGCAAATGCTGCAAATATGGCATGCCTTGGAAAAATGGTACGTTGCAAATTCAGAATAATTACTGATATTTAACCTCAATATTTTTCATTTCAGGAGGAGCAGCTAAAAAAACATTCTGAACAAAAAAAGAAACTTCTGGAAAAAAAACCAAAACAGGTCCGCTAGTGCCATAGACCCTGTCGCTCCATTCATTCCTGGAATTCGCCCAACTGACCAATTCACTGACGAAAGTTCCGCCGGATCATCTGCCAAACATGTGAGTAGCGTTTGTACTTTTTTTTTATTGGTTCTAACCCCAAATTTTCAATTGCAGGTGCAGGATGAACAGTTAAATGCAAATATTGCACCGAAGAAGAAACGCACAGGAAAGATTTCAAGAAGTCCTACTATCGTCGATCCGGTCATTCCAGCTATTTCTGGAGTTTGCCCAACTGACCAGCCCACTGACAAATGTTCTGCAAGACCATTTTCTGCTAAACATGTGAGTAGCGTCGTTCTCGTACTTTTTTAGTTCTAACCCCAAATTTCAATTTACAGGTGCAGGAGGAACATCTAAAGGACAATTTTGAACCGAAAAAGAAACGCACACGAAAGACTCCAAGAAATGCGACTGTCATCGATCCGGTCATTCCAGCTATTTCTGGAGTTCGCCCAACTGACCAGCCCACTAACAAATGTTCTGCAGGACCATCTTTTGCTAAACATGTGAGTAGTGTCGTTCTCGTACTTTTTTAGTTCTAACCTTAAATTTAAAATTGAAGGTTCAAGAGGAACAGCTAGAGGAAAATGTTACTCCGCAAAATAAACGCCCGGGAAAAATCTCTAAAAGTGCCGCTAGCACCGGTCCTATCGTTCCAGCTATGTGTGGAGTCCCGATAACTGGTCAGTCTACTGACGAAGAATCTGCAGGGTCATCTTCTGCAAATCATGGCAATAGTGTCTTTCCTTGCACGTCTAGGACTCCACAAAATTTTCAAGACCATGAATTTGCTGGAACAACTTCTGCAAACTCTGCTTTTAGCCCTGAGTACTCAGACAGTAGTACAAGTTTGTTTGCGGGATATGCTGAAGTTGGTGTGCCAGAACCGAATGTTGATTATTTAAGAACGGTAATGAGCTACGTCAGACAATCGAGATAATGTCAGCGGAAATAAAGCAACTCCGGGAGGAAAACTGCAAGCTGCGCCATCTAAACATGAAGCTTCAAGAATCTCTGGTGGAGAAAACTTTTTTTTTTTTTCCTTTGGTTTGTTTTTTCCGTCGATCTTGTTTTCCGTGCTGAGCACCAATGCTACCGACGTGCCAGGAAGGCAGCTCCCACACCTGGACCCTACATATCGACCCATCAATTCATGAACCGGGGACCAACGGCTTTACTTCCCATCCGAAGGAAGGCGTGATCAGAGATGTTATGCCTCAGAACATCCCGGCTGCGCCGACTGGGATTGAACCTAGGCCTGCTGGGGTGAGAGGTAATCACGCTTACCACTACACCATCGGCGCCGTTTGGTGGAGAAACCTATGGGATTATCATTCTCCGGCATCCCAGGATACCCCAACTCAAATTGGCTATTGAGGGTATCGCAAGATGCACACGAGAGTGATTATCTGTTCGTGAAAGAGTTGCTCTTCTCGCTGTTTCCAAGAGGCGTAGGCAACGCCACAGTGACCGGCAGGCGTTCTAACAACCCCAGAGGACGCAGCAAGAAAGCCCCGGAGCCAAATCAGAACATTCAAACGGTTGTTCAAATGGATCCTGAAAAAGTTAAATATATGAAAGGTAAATAGTATCTTTACCACTTTGTATACGTTATAATCATTATTATCAATCGCTAGCTCGGCTGTACGAGAGAAGACGAATTTTGCAGGACCCAGTAGGGGTCGCTCAGCATTTGTCCCAACAAATAAATAAGCACATCGCAACCGCGCTGGCGAATAATCCTGTGTTGTGCCAGGTGCCAACGCAATAGGACATCATAAGAAGCGTACAAATGTACGACAACAAAGAAAACGACACAAGTTACGCTAGAGAAAATACTACAACACTTCAAATCTATTTTGTTCAGCCATTGTTCGGTTTTTTTTTTAGAAAGTTACGTTTTTATTTCATGTTGATTTTATCGTTATTATTATAACAAATAAAAAAAGCTTTGCCGAATTGTTGAACTCAATCATTATTATCAGTAAAACTGATTCTCCACCGAAAAAAATACTATTATTATAAGCTCTCCAAGAAGAATAACTAAAGCTGCTATTATTTTGTTATTCGATCCGAACAACTGAATTTATTCTTAATTAGTTCTTATTAGTTAATAACACATTTTGCAATTGATTAGTTCTTAATATTTCAATAATAGCTAAATATGTTTTGGACTTTTTTGATTTTTTTGTTCTTAGTTTGATATTACAATAACAAGATTTGCTATTATTTAGTTTTTCTCCCGAACGGTTTCCGTTATTATTTTTGATATTTTAACTCTTATTTCAATCAAACTAATAACAAATTTAGATGTTCTAATATCCTATTTTTAATAGCAAAACTTGCTATTGGTTTGCTATTCTCACCTACTCGGGTAATAAGGTTAGCATTAGATTACGAAGCACTCCTATTTCACCCGAATGACGAAGTAAATCCAATTACGTTTCAATTTGAAACTTGCACGACGAAATTGTTATCTAGAAGCAGTGATATAATTTTAATAAAATATTAACCAATTTGAGACTCTTTTTCAAATCAACTGGTGCTGATGGAAAGGTAAATTAATCTGGAGCATGGCCATACCACGAAGACCGAGCAACGACATAGACAATGTCGCACGTGATGATTGTTGTGACAAACTTTCTCTGTACCACAAATCACGATTGAATGACAAAACAAGTTATTCCCACTGCTTTACGTGTATCATCAACCCTATGTGTTGCTGACAAAGATGGTAAATAAACATTAATTTGTTTGCTTGCTGCTGCTGATCACTCATTATTATTAGGTTCTTTTGTCATATGTTGTTTTGACGTGATTAAGATATTTTTGACTACCTAATCAGCAACTGAATTCGGACATAAATTTCAACGAAGAGAAATAAATTTCTGCATATACCATAACGTATCAATTTCTTTCTCTTCGATTCAATTTATGCCCGGAATTCAGCTGCAGCATATTTAGCGGAAACATGAAAAAATATCATCTATCAATAGCATCTAGGGTAAATGACAAATTTAGCACACATAGACTGTTTTAGGCAACGAAAATTTAAACGAAAATTTCACTGCATTTTCGCACCAAAACACTTCGCTTAATGTATTCAAACGATTCCTGAGTCTTTCAGCTTAAATCTGATTTGATTTTTACGACTGGGCCAACGCATTTTGTCAAAAATGCGACTGATTTCGAGTTGCCGATAACAAAACAGTAGAAGTTAAAACGCAGTTCAAATGAAAAGGTTGCTGAAGAAAAAGACTTGAAAAGTTGTGAGCGTTGTCAAAATGTGTTCAAACAGTTTTGAACAATTCTGTCGATTGGAATGGATAGGAGCAGCAAGCAGCAAACAAACAAACACAATCACCTGACCACCGACTGCATAAACGTCGTTGTCTCTCACCGCCTCTTATCGCTTGCTTGGGGACACCCTCTCTGTCCTTTCCGTTGTCGCCGCATGATGCGTTGTAATAATACGACTTTGGTTTTTTTCAAATCCGACAAAAAAAGTTAGCTCACTGTTTCCGGTTTGATTATACACTTATGTAGGGCCAGTCAACAGTGCTGATGCACGCAGGCACAAACTCTCGGATAGAGGGAGCCACGAATGGAGGAATCAGACGAAACTCCATCCCCTTTGGAAAAGTTGAAATCCGTAATTAAACAAAAATGAAAGTGACAGTTTTAGCCGTAATATCTAGACCAACAATTGAAATAGTCGGAACAACTTAACTTAAAACAGTGACCGTCGAGAATAATAAAACATTAACGCAAACTAACAATGCCATTGGATAGAGGAAGTTTGCTCTATCCGATGCTGGTGTTAGATTGCTTGGATTGCGAGAAATTTACGTTTAAAGCCATTGTAAACGTTCGGTTGCTCCGCCTATTTCAAATGTTGATCCGGATATATTTTTCAAGCTACCGCGGAGTGCTTGGAACGAAAATGGGAGCCATACAAACAAACAATCCATACCTACTAATAAGGAGGTGGAGGATGGAACGCAGTGGAATGGAAGAAACGGAAATTGGTGACATTGGAGAAATGCACCGGGTGGAAGGAAGGAAGGTGGATGGAGCGGGGTTGTGTGAAATTTCTTGTTCGCATTTACAGCGGTAGTATCAAAAGTGGCAAGTGAAACGGAACGAAAACAAGTTTTAATCGTTTTGACAGTTGAATGGGTTTTGTACTAAGTGCACTGTATAATCATTGCGCTTTGGGAAAATCTGCCCAATTTTTTACACTTTTCCGGGGTAACGGCAGACACTGATTGGCAATCTTACAAATTGAAGTGCTTCTAGGTGAAGTTGTTCGTAGAATTATTTGTTGATTTGTTCATTCAATACAATTGTTCAACTTGAGTTAACGTAACAATCAATAACATTACAAGCCCAAAAGGAGCGTCAATTTGTCTCTACTAAAAACACCGTCCTGAGCGCAAAACAAGCGTTCCTCCTGATTAACAAATCTCCCCAAAAATAATCCGAAACAAATTGAAAAAAATCGAATCCAAGCAAATAAAAAAAAACATCAAAATTGACCTTACCTCCAAAAAATGAAGCTCAAGTTGCTTAATAAGCACGAAATAAAGCTGCTGGCTTCTTCTTCTTCTCGCTACTCAGCTTACTTCGCTTGTCGCCTGGCCTGCACTCGGTCTACCGTCGGCGGGACGTCGTCATTTTGATTGCTTACTTCACTACACTCCTTTTTTCTGGCTTGTTAATTTTCTTCAACGCGTCTCAATATTTGCAAGTATTACACCACCCGATTACACCACAAACGAGCACCCACCATTCATTCGGTGGAGAATGACGTGGAAACTTCAGTTGCTGCTGTATGGTGACTACCCAATCGATCTCATGCAACGATAATGACGCCGATGACGACGACGACGACGACTACGATGAGTTTTGCAAAACAAATCAGCCTACTACGGGTGTTTACATTTTTGTTTGGGGTTGCATTTTATTCTTTTATTCTTTTCCAACACAAAAGCCGTCCTTGTAGTGTGTCGCACACTTGTCGTCACCTTTTTTTTTTATTCAGCTGATTTCGCCAATGACGAAAATCGATGTGAATCTGTGAATGAAACGGAAAAAAGAAGGGAGACATTAGAGCCATTATAGCAAATTATGTGCCATTTTACACTTGGAATGAATGACATGAGGAGAGCTAATCGGGAACATTCACTGTATGCCCTTTGATGCTATTTCACTAGGCGCATTTGAAAGAGTAGGGAGAAATTGCTCTGAAAAGTAGGGGAACAATCAATAGAATATTGTTCACATAGGCACCAACATACAATGCAAGGCATACGGTACCATCTGTCATCTTTCTGATTCTGAAACAGTTATTACGTGTTTCTGGTATTACTTCAAACTGATACCGAGACAATCGACTGAGTCAGTGTAACCTAATGTAATTTGACTTATGTCTTGGTAATATTCTAACGTAGCAAAATTTGCAAGTATCAATCAAAATATTTAGCAGATTTATTCTAATCTTATTAAGGTGTTATTATTGCAACCACAGGGGCTTAGCATGGCCTAGTTGGGAGGGGCACGGTACGAATAAGCTGGTGGCAGCGTGTTCGATTCTCGGCCTGGTCTAGCAAATCGTTCGAGTTCGAAATTTTCTTTACTTCCATGGGCATATCATTGTGCTAGTCATCAAGGGGTGGTCACTAGAGTGATGCAAAATTTGAAATTTTCGCTCCACAGTACTTAAACGATTCCAAATCGGATCCTGGCTAACCTCTCAAAATTTGAACCCATTTGGTGAGAAACTGAGATGGCACAAACCATTTGATGTTTGTATGGGAATTACTATGGTAAAACCAAGATTTTTGTTCATGTCTGCCTATAATTCACCATATCGGTCTGCTTCTAAAAATTTCAACTCTACTTGTAGGAAATTTTCCCAGCTACAACTTTGCTCAAGACCACTTTTTGATTAAATGCAAGGATCGAAAGTTATCAATGGTTCAATGCGCTGATGTCTTATGATCATGCTCAATCAACTGCTCAGCAGGCAACATTGGTGTTTCTGAGGCGTTGAATAGGACACAAAAATTATGGCTACTATGTCACACTGCAAAATACAGTGTTGCCTACAGAGCAGCTGCTTGATCAAGTCATAAGTTTACCAATCTCTTAACTAATTAATAACTTTTTCCTGTCTCGTTTTACAAAGAAACGATCTTCAGCAAAGATGAAGCTGAGAAAATTTTCTATAAGAAGACTAAAAGGCAATGAACACAAAGTTGAGATTTCCCATAGTAATTTACATGTAAACTTCAAATGGCTTGTGCGAAGTCTGTTTTTAACCAAATGAGTTGTAACTTTGGGAGGCTAATCAGGACCCGATTTGAAACCATTTAAGCACTGTGGAGCGAAAAAGTCAAATTTTGCATCAGTCTAGTGGTCACTCTACACACTTATTTTGCGTCAAATATTTTTCTCAGTGTGCCGCAGCTGTTCCAGCAGTGCCGAGAAGTCATTAAACTGACTTTTGTTTGCATAATGGTATATTTGGCAACCCGGTTAATTTGACAGTTCACATGTTTTGTTTTGAAGAGCTTTGAGTGGGTTGGTTTATTTTCTTTAAATTCCGTTATAATTGCTTATCTTTTGACAGATACGCGTATTTCGTCTACTACTTGCAGACTACATCAGTGCCAAGTACTCAACTGTTTTGTTTTTCGAAACCTGAGATGACCCGGGAAGGACATTTCCGTTTCAAGATACGGACCCTACGGGTGGAGTTTCACCTAGTACGAGTCTACGTTGAGTGAGGAAAAGTTCCAGGTTTTTCAACAGCGTTTATTATCGTAGGCTGTCCCGAAGTGATAAGTGAAGCATAGTGAGGTGTCGCGACATTTTCTCAACCCTTCCCTCCTCTTTGCTTTCCCGTGTGTGCTAGTAAACAAAACTCAATTTCAATAATCATTGCTTTCAACGGAAACGGTGCCAGGACGGGCCGCACAACAGGCGCCTCTGTACCGACCAGGAGATGATCGAGACAGTAGCCGGAACAACAACAACATCAACGTATCAGATGAGCCTCGGAGAAAGCGCGAGGTAGCAACCCGACCCAACCATACCCAGCTGTTCGCCATCGTTAATGAAGTCTATCCTATTACAGTGGACGTTCTACACACCATCTGCTAACCCAACGGACAAGTGCAACGTATCAAGATATTCAAGAAGAATGGAGTCCAAGCTATGGTTCAGTTTGACAGCATTGAATCCGCCACCAGAGCCCGCGATCCATTGAACGGCTGTGACATCCAGGGCCCCACAAAGTCACTTTCAATCCAAAATCTTCAAGTGACGATGAAGCTCTCAACCAGTCATTCTGTCTTCTCTTCGAGCAGATCCCCGTCAACATCAGCAGAACCACTTTTCGATCGGTTTTCATGCTGTTTGTTTTGGCTTGACTCGTGTTCATTTCTTCTTCCATTGTCAAATGAACTTACTTTTGCATTGAAGCGAAGCTGTTTGATCCAAATTTGCGCAGTTTTTATGGCTTTTGTTGATTGTTCACTCGGTTCGTGCATAGGTCTGTGCACGTGGTTGTAAAATTTATCATTGTTGGGTGGTTTGTTAACCCATCAATATGGGTACTTTTTTAATCGGGGTGACGTCTAGAGATCGAAAATTGATATGCGACGCCAATTCGAAATCCAAGATGGCGGCATCCGATTTCAGAACAAGTGGAAAATATTGTCAAATACCCATCAATATATGTATTTTTGGAATCGTGATGACGTCTAGAGGCCGGATATCGATATCCGACGCCATTTTGAAAGCCAATATGACGGCTTCCTATTTCAGAAAAAATGGGAATTGCTGATGCCGTCCCATCAATATGGGTATTTTTGGAATCGATGTGAATTCTGGTTATTGGAAATCAGTATCTAACGCCATTGTAATCCATCTACCCATATAAACGATTTTTTTTAAGAATCCGGGTAACGTCTAGAAGCCGGGAATCGATATCCGACGCCATTTTGTAATCCAAACTTCCGATTCCGATTTGCGGGAAAGTGTCAAATACCCTAAAATTGGAGACGAACCAGCCTAAGGCTGAAAGCCTCCTAAATAAAGCTAAATAATAATAATAAATACCCTAAAATATGGGTATTTTCAGGATGGGGATGAGACATAGATGCCGAAAATTGATGTCACGCCGTCTTTTTTTGAAATCGGGCTGACATCTAGAAGCCAGAAATCGATGTGCGACGCCATCCTAAAAATTCAATTTAAGAAAAAGTGTCAAATAGCCTACAAATGGCATCGAATATTGATTTTCAGCATCTACGCGTGGTCCCCGTTCCGAAAATACCCAGATCTTAGGGTATTTGACATTTTTGTGAAACCCGATGGACGCCATATTGGATTTCTAAATGGCATCGAATATCAATTTTTGGCATGTGCACGTTGTCCTCATTCCAAAAATATCCATATTGTAGGGTATTTGACACTTTCTGAACCCTGATGGCCGCCATATTGGATTCCAAAGTGGTATCTGATATCGATTTTCAGCATCTACGCGTTGTTCCTGTTCTGAAACTAACCATATTACAGGGTATTTGACACCTTTTCTGAAACTCTATGGACGCCATATTGTAGTCCAACATAGCATCGGATATCGATTTTCGGCAGCCACGCGTTGTCTCCGTTGCGAAAATACCCATATCTTAGGGTATTTGACACGTTTTTTTAGGAAACTTGATGGCCGCCATTTTGGATTCCAAAATGACGCCGAATATCGATTTTCCGCACCTTCATGTCGTCCTCGTTCCGAAAATACCCATATTGTGGGGTATTTGCGACTTTCCCTGACCCCGATGGCCGCCATCTTGGAGTCCAGAATAGCCTCGTTAATTTAATTTTTGTTCAATATAAAATAATATATTATTGGATGCCTTCCCCGGCAACCTATATTGTGCGGATACTATATTTTGATGCCTGCGTCGTCAGGTCGTGACAAGTCGAATGAGCCCCGAATTGAAGTGAAAATGGAAAAAAACGAAGGAAGCAGTTTTCGAGTCATTCATTGCGTCAATTGAAACAAGTCTTTGCTTCAAATGAAATGAGCTGAAGCACTCGACGAACGAAACAAAAGATAGACCTGTCATGTTTGAAAAGAGGAATGTTCATCGTGACTCGATAACAAGAAACACATAATCAAGCGATTTGCGGAGAGTTCATTTTCTTTCTTTCGAAAATGCAGAACCCTGGTGACATCTACTCCGGTTGCTGCACACTGATGATCGACGTGCCAACGTGTCTGCAACGGCCTTCAATCATTAGTCAACCATGGTCTCAAACTAGCCCTCCTGGGAGCCGGATTTGCACCGAATTAAGGCGATGAGTTTCATCCGTTGGAAAAATGGACACCAACACCGGCCGGAACACACGTCGGACTGATGAAGGAAACACCGCTGACCCGAAACGGACCAGCCAACTTCATTCAACCGGCACAGCAACAGGGCGCGGACTCGATAAAAACACAGTCATCACCGATAAGCTGTTCAATCTATTCGATCAGCTTGAAGGACTACAGCGCCTCCAAGGACAATCGCTTCCTTTCCCGAGCAAGATTCTCCACTTCTTCAATACCCCACCCGGTCCGAGTATCTGCTGCTGACTGCATTCACCACCAAGGACTGCCACCCGTCGCAAAATCGGAACGTTCCTCCTCCGGATTGGTTGAGTTCCCGAGCGTAGCCCTGGCGGTGAACGCCATCATGAAGTGCAACCACAGCGCTATCGATCACAAAGGCACAAAATTCCCGTTCATTATGAAGCTGGCAGCAGCGTCCGGTGGTGGTGTGACGCCCATTTCAGTGACAGGCGATTGTCTCAAATACTAAAACGATGAACCAATATAAGATAAAGTCCATGTCCTTAGAAGTAAAGCAAAAGCAACGACTTTGAAGATTAGAAAAATTGTAACCATGGGTGCCAAACAGTGCCAATGACTCTGCCCAGGTGTGCCCAAACTTATTGTTGGCACACTGTGCGGAGTGATCAACCCCTTGACTAGTCATACAATTTACAAATTCATGCTAT